GGTCCACAGCTCTGATCCTGTCCGCTGTTCACGGCCAGGATTGCTTTCTCGATTCTGCAGTGCCTGACGTAGTCTATTGCAGGAAGATAGTTTAATCTGTTTTAAAATAAGCACCTGCATCCCATTTACCCTGTACTGTTTTTCAGGTAATTAAGACACAGATAACCTGCCTTTTAACATTTTCCTTTGTTGGTTCTTGTAGGTGCTTTTAAAGTACTAGAAAGATGTGTTTCATGTGAAGCAAGTACGAACATTGCCCGCGGGTGTCTCTGTTTCACTTCTGATTCTAGTCTCTCTTAAGGGAACCAAGTGCAGCATTTGACATGGGAAGAGCTTCCCATGGCCCTTTGCTTTTAAAGAATGGCAGAAGAATTGCATGTTTTGAGATTCAGCTGTTTTTCATGTTGCGCCAGGCTTTATTTTCTCCTTAGCTTGGGCAAACGAGAGAGGGAGAGAGAGTAAAATAGCTTTGTTATGCATTAAAATTAGTATGAAGCATTGAAATTAGTATTGAAGGAAAAGGAGATGAAGAGGGGAGAGGGTACTCACCTCTTTGCCCTGTCTTTTTCATCCTCATCCATTAGATTGTCTAAGCAGCTTTTCCTGTTGAAAGAATTCAGGGTAGCTTTAGCACATGTTTCCACTAGATTTCTAGAAAGGTTAGGTTTCAAACAGAATCATTGTTGCTTCACTTAATTCATCACGACACCTAAATGTATTTTAAGCCAGTGGCTCTATGATTCATCATTCTCTCTGCTTGTTTTGGCCAACATTTGGACTGCAATCCTCTGCATTAGCAAACAGGCGTGCAGAGGGATCCACTGATTACGGCATACTTTGAAGACATTTCCCAACAGCTGGCTTCTTCTCAAGGGTCCCAACACAAAAAGCTGCTTGCAACACAGCAGCAGTGCGGCCACCTGGGCACCCAGGAAGAACAAGCTCTGGTTAACTTAAGGTGAGATGCTGGGGAGCCTTGGCTTCCCACAAAACTGCAGTGAAGACTCCAGTGTGCTTGAAACAAGCTTATCTAATTAAATAGAAACTGTTCAAACCTCTCCCAAGTACAAACTAATGACTTGTTGACACTTCCGCTTGCCCTGTGTCCAGAAACCACAAACGTGATTGAGCAGTTTTCTGATTTACCTGCACCATCTAGGCAATGCTCTAAGAAGTTTCCTCTTTGGTCCGCTCATTTCCCCAGAAAAGCTGCTCTTTAGCATTAAATCAGAATAAATGGCAATCTGGGGGGAAACCAGAATTGCCGTTTGCTCCGATTGAGCACTAAAAAGCAGAGTGGGGGAAGAAGTGGAAGTGTGGATAATCCCTAAAACAAGCCAGAAACAGTGTTTCATACCAGCCTGGAATTGTTGTTGTTGTTGTTGTTGTTGTTGTTGTTGTTGTTGTTGTTGTTGTTGTCATCCCACCCATCTGGCTGGGTTTCCCCGGCCTCCCAATAGAATATTTAAAACACGATAAATACATCCACCATAACTGCTATTGTTTTGAGCTATTAAATGACCACTGTACTCTCCCTAAATATTTTTCAGTAGCAAATCAAGCTGCTGCCTATCCCTTATCAGTGATGCAAAATTAATCCCTGAGGAGGAGGAGGAGGAGGAGGAGGAGGAGGAGGAGAAGAAGAAGAAGGTCTGCTTATCTGCTTACTTACACCTTCCTGCCCAATAGTTTTGGGAACTCTCTCTCAAATAAAGTTATAGTGCTAAATCTATGAACTTCTGTTGCAAACAAGCCCTGTACAAATGGGTTGCTTCAGCCGTCTCAGATAACCCTCTGCGCTAAACTTTACATTACGGTATAGGAAAAAGAGAGAGAACTAATTTAAACGGACATTCATTGGTGAAGACTGCCATCTGCACACTCAAAAGAACTCTTTGGTGTGTGCCCGTTCCCTCCTCCCAGCAATGGTAAACAGGATTAGCCTTCTGAACGCAAAACAGGAAAAAGTAGGTCACTTCGGCAACACTGTTCCATGTGATAAATTGATGATGCGATTGTAATGGTCTGCTCACAGTCATCTCTCTCTTTCTCAGCTGACTGCAGTTAACTGAAGGACCATACAGAGATATGTCATAGAAGGTTTGCATGCGCTCCACACATTCATGAGCTTGTAATTCAAGTGGCACCTGGTGTTCTGATTTAAAATAAACAAACAAATAAAAACAACCATGTGTTAAGCCTACATAATTGCTGAGAAAATTTTACGGGCAAAGTTTGGTAAAAGGATGAGAAATGGGAGGACTTTCCATGTTCAGAATGTGGGTCCTGCAGGTTCCTGGTTGTCTTCTGATGCTCCACTTGTTGGCAAAACAATGCATATCCTTTCATTCTGCCCTACCTTATGAAAGAAGTAAACCCAAATAAACTGAATCGTGGGCATGGGATCAACCACGTGTTAGGATTACAGCATTTTCTGGGCATGACGGAATAACCATGACCAAATTCAAGAGAACAACCCTGCTTAGCATTAGGTGCATACATGGCTATTTTCCAAGGCTGTCTACACATTACCTGCTTAAAACACAGCTAGATTTTTATTTTTCTCTATTCAGTTTGAAAACTGGTTTGGGGGGGGTTGCATCAAAACACAGTATTTCCTATCAAACTACAGCACAGAAACAGAATAGGTATGGATTGTGACTAATGTTGTGTGTACACTGCTTCCCAAAGCCAAAGAGGAACACCCCCATGCTGGAAGCCACCATTATTTAGTTAAATAAAAAACGGGGACTCAGATACCTGAACTAAACTATTCTGCAGCCCTAGGCAAGACCATCTGGATTAGTCAGGTAATTTACACTACTGAGCCCAAGTATAATAGATTCAAACCATCTCCAATACATTGACAAAACCTTTGTTTTGCCACCTATTCATGTGCAAACAGTCACAACATTTTGAGAACAGTAGAGCCAATTTGGAAATGAACTCACTGTGCTCAATTTAAAAATGAACCTTTCCTCAAATAAAGTAAATTTTAAATGGTTCTGCAAGTTTGCAGCAGGAGCTGGCTGTGGATGGAGCTAATTGGCTAGCAGCCATGATTTCACCAAAATAACTCATCATAAATCCCAAGAATAGTTTTGCATTTTTTTAAAAAAAGGTTTCCCATTTCCCTAAAAAAAGTAATCTACAAATGAATAAATAAAAGTACTTGTGGCGCTTCAAAAAAATACAAAAAAGCAGTAACCCACTTGAAGCATGGGATAGCTATAACAGCGCTAGGTTCACTGATAGGTATGCCTCCCATTTTAATTGTGAAATGGAGCAGAAGGTGGTTACGCTGAAGAACCTGCTGTGAGCTCTCCCTCTCTCTCCTTAATATTACATCTGTCTTTGCCCTATCTTATCCCTGTTTGATTTTCATAATTGGGTGCTGCTGGGTTCTTGGTTTCTAGAACAAATGCCACACTGTAAATCGCCCAAAAGGGGTTTGGCTGAAAGTTTACACCCAACAGTAATGCATTTCATGCAGATCTGCAGTGAAAAGTCTCCTGCAAAATGGTGGCTGGCAATTTGGTAGCGAGCAGCAGAATAAAAACAGGAAGTGATTTTTAGAGTTCCCTTAAAAATATGAAAAGGCACAGTTAGGTGCTTTTGTTTCAATTAACCCTGGTGTATAAACAATGCAAGAGACATTGCCAGTGGGTTGTGGATTGATATTAACTTCTGTTGCTAGGTTAATAAAATTATAATGTGGCACTTTGTACATACAAAGGGCACCCGTCTTAAAATAACTGCTTGAAGCTGAAAGCAGTTGACATGACATGAATAACTCCCACAACTGCCCTGTAGATTTCTGTACACTTTCTGAATCATCAGTACAGTAGTGATGATTTGTAGATATAATACAGACCGTGGGAGCTGGTTCTGTAGTTCGTATAGTTTATTGGAGATAATTGATGCAACGTAAGGTCTGACTATACTGCAAAAAGAAAAGGTAATATGAAGTTTGGATTATGAAAAGGAGAAGAGAAGAGAGATTTATTTATGTGCCACCCTATAACTGTTATAGTTGTTCTCAGGAAGGCTTAGAGGATGAAAACAGTAAAATGAATAATATAATACAATGTGATACATGCTTAAAATTAAGCTCCAGATCAAAGACTGGGGAAGCATACGAGCAAAAGCAGGTTTCGTAAGGGTTCAGGAAGAGTTGAAATGCCTGGGGAAATAAAAACGTGCTTGCCTGGCACCGAAAGAACATCTTGAGCAGTCAGCAGGCAGTTTTCTTCGAAGGGCAACTGATAACTGGATGCCACTACCAAAAAGAACTTTTCACTAGTAAACAACTGCCATATCCCCATCAGGTGAAAATAGGTGAGAGTAGTAATAATACCTGGAGAAGTATCAGTGACGTGGAAGGGTTATTTGGATCAAGGGTGGCCAACACAGTATCTTCCAGATTTGTTCAACTCCATTGGCCCTATTCAGCATAGTCCAATGGTCAGGGATTATGAGATCTGTGGTCAAACAACACCTGGAGGGCTAACCCTGATTTAGTTGACCCCTGATCTACTCCCCCAGATTTAGACTGACCCTCCTCCTCCCCAAACCAACACTCGCCCTCTCTTTAGGCATCTGACCTCTGACCCTTCTTGATCTGAGACAAAAGCAAGCTCCACCCAGACCTCTACCAATCTGATCATCACTTCTAGAAGGAACCAGGAGAACTCCCAATATTGACTAGTTGATCCCATCAAATAAAACGGAGGGTGGGAAGCAATTGTGGAAAACTAAGAAAGTTTATTGATGATGCAGTTGTAATAAACTGAACTGATAACACAAACTACAAGTGAAGACAATGGAACTGCATACAAAATCACTATATTCCAGAAGGCAAAACCCTAGCATGCATCTCTCTCACATGATGAAGGTGCCTATGAGTTACTTCAAACTTTCTGCTGTATCGCTCCTTCTTCTCTCCTTTCAGGCTGATATAAGTGATCTCATTGTCTCTTCTCTGTATATTTCTAATGTCAAACAAGCCAGTTGAGTATAAAGTCTGCCTATTGATCCCATTTCCTGTTATATTCATGTTCCACCCTCATAAATTCCTTAAGTCACATGTGAGGACAGGTGGGCAAGTGGGCATGGTTTGCAGAAAACTCTCTTGTGGGCCAAACTGGGTCCTGTTTGTCCCAGTATACAAGAAGGAGAAACACACACAGTGGAAATGGTATTCATTATGGACTAAGGCAGAGGTCTTTAAACTGTGGTTGCCAACCTTGGAGCCAAGAAATCTCAACGTGGTCGCAATTGGACCCGCGCCAGTAGCAAAATGTGCCTGGGCAATTTCAAACACTGTTCATGGCATCTCTTGTGGATTTATTTTTAACCACATTTCAGTTGCTTATTTGTTTATTTATATTGTATTACAATTTGAATTCTATGAAATGCAAACTGCAATACAATAACATACAAGCATTAAAGTAAGTATTAAAAACATGTAATTTCTGAAAGCGCATACCTGTAACTTTTGGTAGCAAAGCACTTCACATTTGCATATTGTAAGCATGCCATCAAACTCCTGACACAGCTGGAGATACTGATTATCTCAAGGTAACGCAAGATATGTTGTGACA